TTTTTGAAAAAAAATATAATATAAAAATATAATAAATAATTACATTAAAAAAATATAGTATTAACTATTTACAATGAAAATACCCGTTGAAATCATGCACTCTTCTTCTATATCAGCAAACAAGCATCTCTTATTATTATTAACAGATAAACATGTTGGGTTGGGCTTATCTCTTTTATGTGGAGAAATAACTCAATATTTATTGTAATAAACTCACGCTTGTTAAACCCGCTTGAATCATAACTTTGCAGCCCATTTAACAAACAAAAGAGGTCTGTTTTTGGAAGGGTGCAGACAGTGGGCCGCACGTGAGAGTGGATCAAAGGGAAAGAAAATAGGGAAAGGTTGAGAGTTGTAGACCTGTGTGCAACTTTATTATTTTGTCTACTTTGTGAAAGTTTATCATTAGATTGAGTTAAAATTTTATTTGTATATTGATAAGACAATGATCTATATTTTGAATAGTTAATTTTTCATTTAGAATTTTGTAAATTTTGATTTTTTGTCTAGAATAGGAGTTTAATTTTGATATTTTGTATCCCTTGTAGTCCCATTTTTTTTGTAACTTTGTGACCTATCATTCCTCTTGTTTAATGCATTTTTTTGTGTACCCTTTCAGAAAAGAATATTGTGCACTATTTTTTATTATAATTGAGTTATTTTTAGTGAATTAGATGTTTATGTAGTTTTTTTCTATTTTCCATGTAAATCTCTTATGTGATTATTTTACCTTATCTATATTTGATATTTTGTATGATTTAGTTGCTGCCGTATTTTATTTGCACTTAGTTTAGCTTGAAGATTTTGATGTTATTTTTGTTTTCCGCCCTATTCTTCCCAACAAAACAGAGTTACAACTCCTTCTTTCTCCTCCATGATCATACCACAACACAACAATAATCTTAGTTCTCAAAATAACAGTTCTGCAGAAATGTAAAGAAAATTAAGACACTCTCTTCTAACCTCCAGAAGTTGTCTGCATTCCATCATATGCAAGCAGTGATAATAAACTTCTTCTTTCATCAGCAGTATCAGCAAAGTTTGAACTTTTTACATGAAGATATAAGACTGTTGTCATAATTTGAAGAGGGAGACTGAACATGGTTGTGGCATTGCATTTTTACAAATTGAGGACTTTCTATGAGAGCATACCATGATTTACAGACGGACTGGATGAATCTCACCTATGTGTCCGCTGGGAGCAGTGATAATATATTGACGACAACTTCTTCTGGTACATCATGGTTTTTGATAGAGTTCAGTTATGTGCTACTATTTCTTAAAACATTTATTTCCATATATTTTAATTAATATCAGGATACTGATATTGTGTATTTTGTTTTTTAAACAACCATAGCCATATGATCCTCATGAGGTTCCTATTGTGGTGGATACATGGTGCCTCTTTTTTTTTGGAGTTTTTTCATTAGAAAGCAGGTCCAAAGCATCACAACTAACCCTACCTGATGTACTTTCTCAATTCTTAGGAGCTTGACTAAAGTAGAAATTTTGAAGCTAAAATATACTGTTTTTCTACAACACTGAATCAAGAGTGGGGGCCTCCAGTATGCCTGACTATTTACCTTTCTCATATCATATTGATATTATTAGAAGATACAGTGTTTAAAAGCATGAATCTCATAAAGAGAAGGGGTTTTTATATTTAACAAGGGACCGTGTGCCAGTTTAATTGATACTGTGAGTTTATATGTGGAGCCAGTCTCTCTTCACTTTATCTTTTTCCCTGTTCTTTCTTTGTCTTTAGTAAAAGGAGTGGGACATGGGATATGGATTATGGGTTATGGGACCTGACAAAATTTTGTACAATAGCATGTGTTTTATTATGTTCAAGTAAAAGTACACTTATTTTGGATGGCTGGGGCCTTACACTTGTTAGTACTGATTTAGTGAGTGAATCCTCTTCTTGGTAAATCACCTGTTTATTACTTTATAATTGATCTGTAGCTTTCAAAAGGACAGGGCTAGCTATTTGCTTTCCGCCTTAATTGCACATTAAAGTCATGGAATGACCTTTTGGAATCAGATCCTTTAATCAGATGTACCCTTTTAAACATAAATTTAGAAAACAAAACATTTTTTACGGCATTTTTTGGATGTTTGTTGTCCATGTTGATTGATTGAATCACATGTTTAGTATGTGAATCTCCTTTGTTCTTCAAATTTTTCTCATTTTACACAAGACTGCATGTTGTTCTCAGTATGAAAAACAATGTTTTCTAAGCTGTTTGCTTATTGATTAGTGTCCTAGATCTGGGACAAGCTAGGAGAAAGGAAGACCTTATGATCCAGTTTTAGATTCTTGAAAAAACTCACTGAAGCCAAGATAAACTTACTGTTGGTTTTAGTTGCCAGTTGCTGTGGAAGCCCTTAGCTTTCCAACTTTCTTTACTCTCATTTTTTATTCAGTGGAACTGAACTGATAAACCTCATGGCAGTTTCAGAATTATTTAAGGGTAATGTTGGATGGTTGTAGTTAAACAGGTACATTATTCTGGATTGCACTCCCCTTTTGTTGGCCATAGTTAAATTTAAATAAAAAAAAAAATGCTGGATGAAATACATACCGAGTAAGAAAACCGGCATGCCTGCCAGAGAAGTGATCTGATTTTCTGTCTTTCGCTTTTGAATTTCCCTTTTATAAGGAGTGATTGATGGAATCCTATCTCTCTGTGTATATATCTTCATGTATGCACTTGTTTAGTTGCATGATTCTTTTCTTTTATGTGTACTTTATGATAGTTCATTTAGAACACCTTAAGGTTTGTCACTACACATGACATATTGCTATATTAGCCAAGGCCCTCCGCCTTTTTTGCAAGCTTAGAATTCATAAGAAATAAGAGAGATGGTGAGGTCCGCCTATGTCTCTGCATGAAAAGGCACTAACCAAAGCAAAGACAGAGACAGGGAGCTGATATGGGCCCATTGAATATCTAAAGCAGCAGGGCCACAAACTTTTCTGTTTTATAGGTTATGTTGCTCTCCTCTTACCCTTTTTTTTTTTTTTTTTTCTTTTTTTGGTTTTGTTTTTTCTTGGTTCCATTCCTCTATCTTTAAATAGGAGACCACTCACCCCTTACCCGCCAAGTTGGGGAACTTCCATAGGATTTACTCAGCCCTGCTTTCTCTCCTTTCCCTTATCTGTTTATTTTCTTCTAACTGGCTGCACTATATGCATTTCCCTTCTCTCAAAACCAACCTCTTCCTTTCCAATGGCCAGCCGTTCTTCAGTGATAATTTGTAGGTGAAAGAAGGTAGAAAAAACATGGGACGTGCTGGTAAGGCTTTGAGGGTTCTGTTTGGAGTTATTGTGTTTGTGGGGGTTATTTGGTTTTTGTTTGCTGGTATCATAGCAAACCATGTGAGTACAACAAAGACAATGAAGATGGTGTCCCCAACTAGGAATTTCAAGCACTGGAATTTTGTTGCAGAAGATAGGCATCCTCTCCATCATGATTTCAATCTCAATTATGTGAGCAGGAGAAGAGTACCCAATGGACCTGATCCCATTCACAACAGGTACACTTTTTTTTTTTTCTTTTTTCCACTGATAACATGAATTTGCATAATTCTATTTTGCTTAGACCAATTAGGTTGTTAAAAGGGAGAGAATTCTTAGTGGGAAGCAGGGCTGTGGTAACTTGAATATAAGAAAAATTAAACACTGATGCTCAATTGTTTATATATTAGGTACTTGACCTAGCAAGGTTTCCATCCCTTGCTAATACCTGTAGATACATAGACATGTTATTTCTTGCAGAAACAATGATAAAATGATACATTTATTTATTTATTTTAAAGATGGTTTTTTGGGGTAGGGGGGGTTGGTAGGGGAGGGAGATGTGCATTAGCGTCATTTTTATATAATATGTTATATATATAACAAAAGAGACGTCATTAGTTCATATATCTGAGATGCATAGAAGCTGATGACATTGTCTTTCTTTACAAAAGCTTCTTTAAGTATCAATCTTTCTCTTATTTTCATAAGGAACAAATAAAGACATTGGGGCAAGTACTGAGTCACTTTAACTCTCCTTCTTCCTTTTCTAATGGCATTCAAATCAAACACACTGCTCTTTTAATTATGTTCATCAAAGTGTCAGTTTAACATATTCATGATTCCACATAGAACAGAACAGCTTTAATTCCATAATTTTAGCTCTCCTTTTTGCTCTAAATTGCTAGTTGGTTATGCCAATTTGAGGTGCGGACCATGGCAAATTGCTTAGAAGACAAAGAACATAGCAAACGAAAATCTACACTGTTTTCACTTAATGATTTCTTTATTGTAATATCAGGAGAGCATCCAAGTCTAGACAACCACCAGGGCGAATATGATTTGAGGTTAAAGAAACTCAAGTTTTGCACTTGTCACGGAAGACCCTCCTGCAAAAAATGTTGTTAAATTTTAGATGCTATGTCAATCCCATGAAGGTTTGTTCGATTTATATATGATTCAACCAGTAGTTCTCCATTACAAGATGGTTTTCTTGGATTTCTTGTTCATCTAGTTTTGAAGGTGACAAGCAAAAGAATTGATGGACATTCAAGAATCAAGAATACTTTTGGAGTTGTCCCACCAGTATTTCCTTGTTTCCTTGCTAGTGTTCTCTTGGATATCATAAGAGAGTTTATGGCTAGGGGTTTGCTTGGCATGAGAAAACAAAGCCAATGAAATGCTTGTTAGGAACAAATTCCCAAAGAGGTTGTAGTCTACACGTACATGATCACTAGGCATGCATTGTAACATATATTAATCAGCTTTTTATCTATTGGAAATTTGGAATGGTTTTCCTTTTTCTGCTTTGATGTTTACCTTTGTGTTCCCCATGCCATGCCTACCCAAAGCAATACCCATTAACTAAAGTTGCTCGATTCTCAAAACATTTTATTTCCTTGAATTGTGCATTAAAATGGGGCATGTTGTTTATAATGCTACCCTATTCATTCAGCCAAATCAGGAAAAGTAATGATTAGAATTTCTTATATATCTTTAATTTTTAAATTCTTGTCTTTTATGGAATTGAAAATAATAATTTATTATATTGCATGCAAACTAATACACAACATTATTCAATTGTAAAATCAAATAGTATTTAGTGTTTTTTTAATAAAAATTAAATAAAAAAGTGTAGTTAATTAGTTATTAAAATTATTAAAACATTATTTATTTACAAATTAATAAAATATAGATTTTATTAACAGTATTTTTATAATTTTAAGATTCAAACTATATAACAAGAAAACACTCAAAACGAAAAAAGCTTTTCTTTTTCTTTGCTTGCTAAGACCTAGGAGCGTCATAAATGCAACTATTTTATGGTATCTCTACAAAGTGAATAACAAAGCAAGGAGCATCCTTCTCTGCTCAGCACTCATTTGCGCTTTTCCTTTTTTTTTATTTTCTTTAACTTTTTTGGGGCCTCTTTTTCTGGTTTGTTTTTGAATGGTACAAGAAGCAAAGACTCGATCGGTCCAAAGCAAGACAGATATGATTCAAATTTAGAGACCTTTCTATTGCATTTGGGAGACAGATTCTCATCTCGTGCATCTCCTTCTCTTTTGATTCAAAGATGGTGAGAATTCATCATTTCTTTTAACTCACTTTTCTTTTTCTTGACAATCATATGGAGACAGTTGCACCCAAATAACAAAAACAATTATGGAGAACTGCTAAATTTGCAACGCAGCAACTCATCCTTCAATTCATCTATAGACCTCTTCTCGTATTTCTTAGGAAACGTCAGTTGTCGTCTATAAATTAGTTAGGTGAGAATTGCTTTGTACATTCTTCTCGAATAACATGCTCAGCAAAATTTTTTGAAAAAATGTTAATGTTCTGTTTAGTATACTTTTTAAGTTTTTATTTTTT